AGCAAAAAGGTGAGAAAATCACATTTTTATCAAAAACTACATCTGGATAATATTCAGTACGATTATCAAAGCATAAATCCAGTAAAGCGCTTCTGTCAACACCTCCAAAGCTTGCACAGACATATACCACTTCGTGGATCAACATTTTACTCCGTAACATAACATTATGCAGTTTTCATTTATATGCCGTCTATTGCTGATGATCGCATTATTTTTCATATGCATCTGTTTACATAAGAGTTCGCCCGTTGCTCCGTCCTGTTCACATGTGTTTTTGTTCGGGAGGTTTTGTACTCGTTCTGAAGATGCGTAATAGCGCCCCCGAGTGTATAACAGTGAAAACACGAAAAGCCGTAAAAACTCGTCTTTGGCGGGGAAGCGTTTTCTTGTAAGAGATGAGATAACTCGTCAATGGCGGGGAAAGAGTTAAGACAACTTCAAACTTCAAACCATTTCAAATGGCTAAAATATGAGTCTCTACCCATAATATTGCTTCCTCCAGTGAAAAAAAAATTGTCTGGTCTGAATCAGGAGAGAAATATGCACAGATCAAGCACCGTATACAAACAGTCCAAAACAGTTCTAAACAAATATGTGGGTGGATTTTGATGCGAGACAACAACAGGAGATGGACTTTTTCACTGGAGGAAGCGTTATGGATTATTGACTCATATTTTGGCGGTAAGCGATGGTTTAAAGTTAAACGTCCTGATGAATTAGCTTCACAAGACATTAGCTGATGGACTGGAGTGGTGTGGATTACTTGTGGATTATTGTGATGTTTTTATCAGCTGTTTGGACTCTCATTCTGACGGCACCCATTCACTGCAGAGGATCCATTGGTGAACAAGTGATGAAATGCTAAATTTCTCCAAATCTGATGAAGAAACAAACTCATTTACATCTTGGATGGCCGGAGGACGAGTAAATTCTCAGCAAATTTTAATTTTTGGTTGAACTACTCCTTTAACTTGAAATTCATGGCTTGTAGGTTGCTTCTGCTGGGTTCATTTCCCACAATGCATCAGTGTGGACTGACCTGGTGTGCCCCCGTGTGGCTCGTGTTGTTCTCTGGGCCCGGGCAGCTGGAACAGCGGGAACAGACTGAGCGTGTGCCAGTCCAGATCATTGTTGGGGTTGAGCTCAGACTTCTCGCGCACCGGAGCGTTTCTGGGGCTGTACGTGAAGCGCAGATGATAGCTGACCTGCCACACATGACATCAAAGGTTGTTTGTTTGATGTGACTTAACATTTCATGTATTAGAGGGTCAAACCCCAAAGTAAAAAAAAAAAGTGTCTTGATTAATGGCACAATAAACATTTAATAACTCTTGTGGGGTTTGAACCTACAACCTTACGGTTACCACACCAGATAATAATGAATATTGTTCAATATATACCTCAGAGCACACGTGATATTTAATTAACTTTGAGAATAACTTGAGATTAAATTTTTTTTTTTAAATATATATTTTTTTTCAAAGCCCCAGGCTTGTTGTGCTTGTTTGTACAGGGCTGCATAATTTGGCCCAAAATTGTGATTATATATCAATATAACTATATAATAATAATAATAATAATATATAATTATAATAATCATTAAATATAACAATTATAATTAAAATATTACACAAACAAATTTCACTGTAAAATAAAAAAGTGTTTAATAATTATAAAAAAAAAAAAAAAAAGAAATATTCATTTTGTAATTTTTCACTGCAAAATAAAGAAATTGAGTATTTAATAATAATAATAATAATAATAGCCTTGTTTTGTGAAATTTTAATCTGACAAAATACAATCTGACAAAAGTGTCATTTTGGGCCTCATTTGTGACATGAGGAAAACAAATTTCTGTGTAAATCATTCATAAAACCATTCTTAAGTTAATTGTTTTAAAAAATAAATAAATAAATAAAACACACATTTTACATTAAAAAAAACATTTTCCTCGATGCTGATCCAGGACCTGCACTGGAGCGGCAGTAAACTCTTTAAATCCTCAGTGAAGGACTCGCTGTCTGTGACCGAGGACCGAGAGCTTTCATCGTGAGAGATGAGAAGAAAGCAGACCAGACCTCATCTCTCCATTAGGCAGCTGGAGAAACCTCAGCAAGCGCATCTCAAAACGCCTGAAACGGCTTCAGCGCTTCATAAACACGAAACCGGAGACATGAAACCAATATGCTTTGAGGGTATTTGTTGCTAGTGCACTAATGGCCTGATTCCTCCTGCTAGATTCGACTGCATTCTTGACTTCTGTGGAAAACAGCTTATTTTGTCCTCAAATGTTCAGAAAAGAACATTTCCTTCGGAAACACTCGCTTTAAGTAACGGTTATCATCGTGAAAGACAAGTAAATAGGCGAGTCTCACTAAAACTGACAAGACTGCGCTTTATTTCACACAAAATCTAAAGAAAATGGAGGAAGTGATTTTAATCCCTAAAATCCCTGCCGGTACTGAGATTCGACCCACGACCTTTGGGTTACAAGTCCGACTCTCTAACCATTAGGCCATGACTGCCCCATTTTCATTACTGTATCAATATTAATATTAGTAAATAGCATGGAATTTATTCCATTTGAGAGGGAAATGTGTTTAATATCAAGCAAATTCATACAAATATTGTTACAATGCAAAAATAGCTTATTTTCTTTATGCAAAACATTATTTTAATATAATAATAACAATAATAATAATAACTTCATATATTTAATTTATAATTAAATATTATAAATTAAATTAAATTAAATTAATTATTTTATTTTAATAATAATAATAATAATAATAATAATAATAATTTTATATTGTTTAATTAATTTATTTTTTATGCCAGTGAAATACATGAACATTTTTTCATGAGACTCGTCCACATAATGGTTTAAACTGTTTAGCATGCAGTTTTACAGGTTAAAATACAATTATTATTATTATTAGTGTAGTAGTAGTAGTATTACTAAATAAAAATACATTTTACTGTAAAATAAAGAAATCAGGTGTTTAATAATAAAAAACATTTATCACTATTACGATTATTACTAAATAAAAATGTTAGAAATAAGAAATAAATAATAAATCTAGTATTTAATAATATTATTATAGAGTGATTTTTGTATTACTAACATTAGTAAACAGTATGGGATTTATTGCAGTAATGAAAATTTGAGGGGAAAATGTGTTAATATGTAAATAATTAGCTTAATTATTAGCTTATTATTACTTAATAATAATAATTTCTATATACATTTAATTATAATTATATTTAATGTATAATTAAAATACCAATTTAAATAATAATAATAATAATAGAATTTTATATTGTTTTATTCAATAACGCATTTTTTTTTTCAGTTGATGAAATACATATGCATTACTTCACAAAACTCATCTACACAACGATTCAAACTGTTCAGTATGCAGTTGATCAGGTTGATCTTGGCTAACAGGAGGAGGTAAACAGGAAGAGGGTGATTGGGAATGCTAATTCGTTAAGGCACAGGTCTGTCCGGTCCATGGCGTCTCACCTGCAGAGGAAGCGGCTCGTCGTCGTGTGTGAACTGGTGCTCAAACACAATGGCTGCCAAGATCTTGCCTGACTGTGGGTCAGTTTTCACAAACTCCTCAAACTGCTCCTCTGTTTCAAAGCCACGCACTGGAAAACAAGATCAAGACACAGCATTAGTGCCACAGCCGTCTTTATTACCGTTACTATAGCTTTCATTTATAATAAATAAAACATGTGTATTAAGCAACGCTTTAATTTTCTTTATGCAAAATATAATTTAAATTTGAACAGAAAAATGTTACATTAGTTAATTAGTAATAATTATAATAACTGAATTTAAATAATAATTTAAAATACTAAATAAAAATAAATCACTTATCTTCTTTATGCAAATTAAATTGTAATATCATAATTGTATTAGTTAATTATATTAGTATTGTATTAGGCTACGTTCATACTGTCAGTTTTTGGGATGGACAACCGCATTTTCTTTACAGGTTTGAGTCTCGAAATGTCCCGTTCACACAGCAGCTTACAGTTGTGTTTAGAATACTGTCTGTTGCTGCGTACCAATTTGCATACTATCAGTCCTAAATAGTATTCAAAAATAGAATTAGTATGTCCCAAATCATAGTATGTTTAAAAAAAAAGTATGCCAAAGATTCCCGGATGGTCTACTACTTCCGGTTAGAATTCGAAGTGCAGATCGATGCACACTCTAACGGCTAATATTGCCCACAACACATTGCGCGGTGGACGAGGATTCTATTAGAACTACAAACATGTATAAAAAGTGTTAAAAACTACAAACATGGCGGATATACGCGACCGACGGACAGGTAGATAAACGGATTTGAGTGATAAATAATCAATGTCTAACCTGATGAAAAAATATAAATTTAATGTTATCCATGTTATATTTCATCTGCAGCAACACTGTGAACTTTTATAATGATAGCGGAGCATTTGAATCACGCGCAGAACACAAAACTGACGGGAGCGGCGCCGGTGGAAAACTTAACGGGAATCACGGGATCCAAAACGTTCAGATGACACGCAGCTCATTTCTCCGTCACTGTAAGTTACCGAAAACACACATGAAAACACGTAACACGCGGTAGACGTGCGGCAGGGCGGCTCCATCTCGCACTGTATGACGTGACAGACAACTAGTTGTCCAGTCCGGTTCCGTTCACACAGCGCGTGTGTTCCGAGAATGCGGTTGTGAGTCCTGAAAATTTACAGGTGTGAGTTCGGTTACAGAATGCGGTTCTCACACCCGTAAATAACCGAACTGTGTGTGAATGTAACCGTATTACGGACTCAAATACATGACTGACAACCGTATTCTGCTGCTGTGTGAACGTGGCCTATGTTAATCATAATAATTGCATTTTAACAACAACAACAACAAAATATAATAATAATTCTTATTATTATTAAAGTGCTCCTATTATGGATTTTTGAAAACTACCTTTCATGCAGTGTGTAATGCAGCTGTATGTGAATGTAAACAGTCTGCAAAGTTG